GAGACGACTCAACTTTCCTGCGCGGTCATGTTTCTCACTTCACGCACACTCTCCCAACATGCTAGATCGAGCCCATCAACCTAACCAGACGTACCAGATTACGCGGTTCCAGTTGTGTCTTTTTGTGGGATTTGAACCTTAATGACCCTAAACTGAAAGACTATGGAAGATGGTTTCGAAAGCTGATTTACACGTTTACAGGCTAATGGACTTACGCAGTCTCAGTCAAGGCTTTTTCTTGGCTCAATCAACTTGGCATTAGCACCTTTTGAGCACTCTGATTTACGACCGGTATTGCATATACACGTCAACACAAACACACACATATACAAACACACACACTCGAACAAATGTAACTGTGAGCCAAACAAGTCTATTTCTATTTACGCCGTCTCCCTCTTGCAGGATCAACCCACTCGAATCTCTTCATCCGTCACACACATTCAGTCCACATGACTAATCTCTTGTATGTGTCTATATGTGTTTGTGTGTGTGTTGTCGTGATTTAAACCCTTTTCGATAATCCAGCTTCTGGTGAGCCATTCGGCTGATACCTCGGCTTGGTACCAGGCGTGAGTGACGATTAAGTAATGCCATTCAGGGATAAAGCAGTTTTTTGCACCTCTTCCCATCAAAGTTTCCCCATTTTGTCGAGACTATGTTGAAAAGGTTCAGTCGCCCGTCTACCGCATCCTCGCTGGCGTGAGCCGGTGCCACTAGAACGCTCTGACAAGCTGAACAGCGGTTTGGTGGGCCCTTACAAGTCGGACCCTTCCAGGCCAGAAGCCATTTCGCCGCGAAGTCGCCATGACCGAGTTTTGCCGCCACGGTTGTGTAGTCGCCCTGCCGGCGGGAATGCCGATCGCGCGAGACAAAGCGAAAGAGAGCGAGAGAGGCACAAAGCCACAGACCCGGTACCAGTTGTCGACTGCCCGAGGCAGAGGATGTGGTCAGAAAGGAACGAGTGCGAGAGTGTAGTGAGGCTGAGAGGAGGCGGAGCAGAGAGAGTGTCTACGGAAGCAGGCCTCCAGCCGGTCGAGACAGCCAACTCCGAGTCCCGCGGAGAGGAGGCTGACCGGGGGAGGCGAGAGACGAGAGGCATTCCAGATGAAGCGATAAGCGATAACACCATGTAGCAGGTGAACAGGCTGCCATGGTACAGTTGGGGCGTCTACGACTTGGTGACTTGGGCGCGTCGAGTGTGCAGGCGGGACGAAGTGGGAGAAGGAGGCAAGCAGGCCTGCAGGGAATCTCGGCGAAATTAGCGTCGCCCACGGCCTAAAACGCCCTCCTCACGGGCCGCGAAACCTCCGTTGCCAGGGCGACGGGCAAGGATAGGAGGCCTTTGGAGAAAAGAGCAAGAATGGCCCTACATTTCGCCAACTTGGCTACGCCTCCTGTGCAGCCCAGGCTTATACAGACTGTGCACAATGCGCAAACATGAGATCGAGCACATGCAGAGGTACACACCAACACCCACCCACTCATACACACAAACATATACACACACACACACACACAAAAAGGAAGAGTTACATGGTTGGAGTGGCAAACTATGCATCCCATCTGGGAAGAAAGTATTGTTTATGCAATGAGCGCACAGGAGTCTGAGAGTTTGGCTTCCGATTGCGCTTGGCGACCGGCGGTAGAGGAGAGGTCTTCGTCATGCCATCATGGTGCAAGCAGATGGTACCACCAGACACACCGTAATCTTCAAAATTCTTGTTGTCAGGGTGACTATGTGCTGCAATAGAGGGAAGGAGAGGAGAACAGACGACATGTAGAAGATTTGGGCACGCAGACAGAAAAGCAGGCGCAAGGCAAGCGTCCACAGACAGAGTGTGAGTATGCAGGCATGCGGAATAAACAGTTGTACTAATCTGCTGACATGGCGATGCTGAAGGATGGGGATCAATAGGAGGATGAATTCACTTCCATCTCCTCAGGAATCCGGTCAAATGTATTCGGACCTTTCAAGATTGGCATAACAACAGAGCAGGTGAATGGAATGGCCAAGATGGGCTTTCATGCGAGAAGACCTCCCAAAGTGCAGAGACATGCACGGAAAAAACCGACAGCACTTTATAGGATCCTCGAAGACATGTCAACTGGATACAGTTGGAAGTGGTGACGAGTACATTTGTACCGTCGGACGCGATTGAACCTCACCAGAAAGGCCACTCGGAAGGAGAAGATTATGTCGTGGAGACTTTCGTTTTGTACGAAAATGTGTCTGATCAAGAGATCTGACCAGAAGACGACGTTCAGGCTGACTCAATACATGAGACATCCTTCCTAGTTTCGAGTGAAAATGGGCTGATTCTTCGTCTATCAATATATATATATATATATATATATATATGCATCAATAACAAGAAATATATAAAGTTATAGATGGATATAGAAATGTTTAGTTGATTTCCTTATACCCGAGTGTGTCTTTGCCTGTGTGTTAACGTCCGTACGCACAAACGCAACGCTCAAGTATAATATAAGTAACAAAACCTTTTTATATGCATCTAATTCGATAAAATTGTTCTCGTTATGAAAATATATATCCAGTAGGAAAGAGCCAGTCAGTGTTATTGACTTGGTTTTCGTTAACTTACGACTTTCACAAAAATGAATTCCAGTTCTGATCATGTCCGTCATATGATAGACAAAAGATCACCCTCTTTGCACCCGATCGACCTTCGAAACACATCGTCATACACTTTCACACAAGATGGAAGTCTCCACAACAATTTTATCTGAGGAGGTTAATAAAAACTGGCCTCTTTTCGTATATACGAGAAGATGCTAGCCTGTCCTCCTTATTTAAAGAGACAACACACCATAGGACAGTTGATGCAACAGTCTTGGATATTCACACAGATCACGGCGTACTGAAGATAAGGTACAGGTTTGGCTTAAAGTATCTTTCTCTCGGTAGGATTCGATCCTAGTTTGGAGACTTCTAGAGTAAACTGACATGCCAACAGGGTCACAAGCTCATGATCGCTTAAAAGATAGGTCTTACACTAATCCTGCCTATAGCAAGGATGATTGGGAAGACAATCTCAAATTTTTAAATATTACACTGGTCAAGCGGAAAAACAGGCAGTCGGAACGCCCAACCATAGAGGTATTAGGTTAGAATGCAACTTTGATACGAGAATGAGAGTAGTGTATAAAATAGGTAAAGAGAAGAGAAAATAAGGCAAACCGAAGAGTAGAGTGAAAAGAAATGTGAACAGAATTGAGAACAAGGAAATAAATAAGGAGAGAAAAGAAAGGAGAAGAGTGGAGATCAAAAAGAGGCCTCTCAATTGAGTGATACGCAGATATTCTAGATTACTTATTGTTCTGCCCTTAAAGAGATTACAAACTAGTATAACAATATCATAAAATGCTGTATCCAG